ATTTCTTCAATATTTTTCTCATATACTTCTTGCAACATGCTGAAACGCAGGATGAAACGAACAATTCCGAATATTTCACGGTGAAAATTAGAAATAGAAGGAAACCTCTCTGTTTCGAAATTAAAGAGAAGAAATAAATTATTTAATATTTGAAGTCGCGAAGATTATTAGCGTGTATTAGGAAGCTAAAGAAATTTGCCTCAAACTTTCGAGCAATTCTTAATATTTCGTTGCACAAATTGTTACTATATCATCTCAAATAGAAGAAGGAAACTTCTTTGTTAACCATCGAAATTAAAGAGAAGAAATAAATTCAATATTTGAAGCATATGACAATTTGTCACGAAGCCTATTAGTGTGTATTACGAAGAAATTTAAGGGCACAATATTGCAAATATCGAAAAATATTCGCACACTACGTCATTCACAGAAATCATCGCTGCTTCGTTTAGCGCAAGGCCAAGAAATTCGTGTTTTCATCAGAGAGAAGCTACTTTAGGTATATATTCTGCAACTTTTAATCGCAAAAACGATCACCGTGTTACGTTCTAACGCGGGGCCAAGGAATCTGTATTTTCGTAAGGGGAATAAATTGTCTCACGCGTGATATTTCAAAATTCGTATCCACATGTTAAATCAATATTTTTCACCTCGGAGGAAAATACGATAGCAGTTGCGTAGGTATAAAAGCTACAATACATCTACGCGGTGCTACGTGCGATTTCCAGTACATTCTGGTCTAATTTCGTCTAGGCACGTGGTATTTGTATAGTCACAAAATTCTGTTTACGAGATACGTGTAGGAGCAGCGTCGAAGCCGCGGAGGTATCATCATCGTCCATAAGACGGTATGTGCCTCGTTTGGTTTTATAGACGCCGCGAAAATTTATGAACGTATCTGGTGAGTAACGCGCCGCGCGGCCAAGAAATTTCCATCGAGTGGCTTGTTTAAAGCTTCATAGATCCCGTTTTTTAACTTCTGCGACTTTGCCGAAACTTTCTCTCTCACCCCGTGCCTCGAGGAATATTTTTCTCCCCCGGAGAAAGCCTCGGGAACTTTCGAAATTACTAATAAAAAAATGACGCGCGCGCGGCGGCCATACCAATCAAAACTTTTCGAAACGCGTCCGCGAACTTTATGAAAATTTCGAAGGCTGCCGGTGTTAACCGAAACTTGTTCGCGTCCCTTTCGCGAATTTAAACTTGTAAAATGGTTAGAAAAATTTTAGAAACGTCGTATATATTCGTTTTAGAAAATTGCCATACGCGGAATGTTTCGCTGCGTATGAACTCCGGTTACAGTTTCATTTTTGTTCAGAAATGGGGGAAAGATCAAAGGAAAAGCGTTGAAACGAACCTGTCTCTTTCTCTACGACACTAATTTCCTTCGCACTGATGTCATCGATCTTGTTCGAGGAATCGGTCTCATCGTAAAACGCACTGTCGTTCAAGTTTTCACAACACGTTGACACGTTCAGACGATCCAAACCAACGATCAAAGCTGTTTCTATGATGTCGCTTGGCTCGCGTGTCTTCCTCACAGCGACAAAAGTCTCCCAAACTTTCCCGGCCAGCGAGCCTTTACTCATGTGCGGCACTACCGTTCTCTGCTTGATCGTTTTCAGCTTCGTCTTCTTCGCAACTTTATCTTTGCTAACTTTCTCGAGCACCACCGCCGAACCTAGTCCGATCGATATATCTTTCTAGCTTCTCCTCACAATCGACTATTTCGAATTCACTTGGAACTCGAACAATCTCCATTTATATTTAACAACGACAGCTAATCGATATCTTCCAATTATTAAGTTACACTACTTAGGTAACGATAATTTGCAAAAAAGAGAGATACAGAAAATATTGTAATTTATTGCTTCGATAAACATCGCGAAATTTAAAAAATCATTTAACCATTAAAAAAGGGGCTACAGCAGATGACACGTCAAATAATTTAACAAAATTTCTATGTTAACAAGTTATACTCGAATTCATACAAAATTATTCACAATTTACACATTCAAGTTTCCAGGATAAACTTGACCAATTATGTCCGTATTTCACCACGAACGTCGCGATAAGATACGGAACGGTGATAACGAGAGTCGAAATATTCAATCACTAGAAGAATGTACTATAATTAGGTAGAAAAGTTTAAACAACTGCACTATTAAGATAAAACAACGCGTCTACAGAGGAGGTTTTTCGATCCAAGCGAATTACTTAGATATTCACGCGATCTTTACCATCACCCTTCAGCTTCCGATTCAATCTGTTCCTGCATCTCTCCGAGGAGAACCTGAAGCTAGCAAAGCCAGCTATCAGGGGCGAGGGGTTGGTGGCCGTTGGGTAAGGGTTGCAGTCCGGTTCCCCCTCCAAGGGATCACGCAACTGTTGCACCTCGACCATGTGCACACCTCGATGCTCCACCACCGAGAGGAAAATCTAAATCGGGGCGGTTTCTCTACTTCTCGCGGCAACAACCGAACTGACACTAATTTCCCTCGAACCAGCTCTCGCTTCTTTTCCGCGGAGACTGCCGTTCGTTTCCGGTTAGACCCCACCAGATCGCTCCCCCGCTCGTTTCACAACCACGTTCGTGCGTACACATACACCGATGTACAGGGTGTGCGTGTAATCCTGATTTTCGAAGCCCTCCGGTCTAACCCTCGAGCAACATCAAGGACGATCTTCGCGTTCGAGATATTGATATACTTAAAGTCCCTCTTAAAGGGTAGCTGCTTTTGCCCCGTTTCTCTCCAATCTCTCTGTCTAATTTTGCGGCACGAAAAGATACCACTTGTCAGATTCCGCTTTGTTCTGTTTGTCTACGTTGCCTTCAACCAGCGAACACGCCGCTGCTGATAAAGAGTGTGGTTATTGAAGAACTCTTTATGAGCTCGTTCAACACTTTTTCCGCCGTTTTATTATCCGCGTATTCGTTGATTTTACAAAGAAAGTTCTTTTGGAGAAATTAATTTTTGTAATATATACCGGTTTTTTTTTTGAATATTAAATAAGTGCTTATGTGTTATGAAATTGTGAAAACAGAAATGTTACAATTTTATTATTTATATTTTTATGTGAGTAATTAATGTTGGATTGTAAAAATTAATAAGATACGAATAGATTATTTAAAAAATTTGATGAATATTGATAGTGTAACTTTTATGTGAATTAAGTGAAATAATAGTGTTCAGTCTTTGTATGCAGTTTAGAAAACGTATATTAAAAGTAAAAATTTTTAAGGTTTTTTTTTTTTTATATATTGTAGTTAAATTTATTCGATAGCAAATTATCGATACACCCTGTGTATGAAGACCAATCTATGTTACTCAGATTCTAGACCTCTTTTCGTGGTTTCCTCTCCTCCGTTCTTCCTTCCTTCCTTCCTCTCTCTACACAACACGTTTTGCGAAACTTCCTTATCGGGAAGCGCGATTATTGTAACAGCACTGTTCGATAAAAACCACCTACACCAGCTGCTTCAAGCGTATGAACCATCGATTACGCCTTTCAACATTGACACTGCTCGCTTTGATCTTTTGTTTTAAACAATTGTACAGTTATTTAGGAACACAACAAATATTCCTATTAATATTTATGGTGTTGTAGAATTTTATAAAATTAATACTTTTAATTATCACTATAGAAATAGGATGAGCTTTAGTATTTTTGTATGTTGATACATTTTTTCAAAATCTGCATCATATTTTGACGAAAAAGTCTTATCAGGACAATACACTATTCACACAAAAGACTGAGAAGAGGATGTGTTGATAAAGAACCACTGAGAACCATATAAACAATTTTCTGGAATATTTCGCATGGAAATATTGCACGGTTATAAAAACACTTTTCACCACTGGTTCACATTTACAAATATTTTTCGGCGAAAATTTAAGTAAAGAATTATTTTTTAATATTAAATGCCTCCAATGAGAGGAACACTCGTAACAATGGCTGACGTGACCTACGTTCGTCAAGGAACGGCTCGTTCGAAATGAAGACAGTAAAGTTCCAGATAGTGGATAACATGAACAAAAAGGAAAAAAAGTATACGAGCAACAGTTACGTAGTTAAACAAGTATGCGTAATTGCAAGCTACTACGACAATGCAACGTGTAACAAAACATTGCAGACTAGTGTGCCAATTGTGACAAAAAAAAAATACATTTAAAGAAAAATTAATGTCCTTCTTTAATTGAATTAAGTAAATGTAAAATTAGACTTATTTAAAGTCGAATAAAATTTGTCGTAAATTTCACCGATAGACTGAATAAGAACCTCTTTAATATTTAAACATTATATTCATTTAGTATCGAAAAAATTACACCTGTGATGGCCTTGTTAATAAATTCTACTAAATTTGAGATGATTTATATTTAACAACAAAGCTAAAACGGTAAATAACACAAAACTGTAGATTTTGTTCTGAGAAATATGCTAAAATTAATGGCATTTGGCGAGCTATCGCACTATACAAGTAACGAACTGATTAACATGGATGAACGTATTCTTATCTTATACAGAAAGTTAAAAAAAAGGAAGATGTTTGTTGCTTACTGGTCATGTGAGCTAATGAATTTATGTGCTACCATGTCATTTAAAAACAAGAACATTTAAAAATTGCCACAATAAATTTTATATGAGAAAAAGCAATACATATTATTTTAAGATATGTAAAATGTCAAAGCTTATTGATATTTTCTGTGGAATCGTAAATATTGGAAAACAAAACACAGTCACATAAACTTTGTACATAACAAGGATTGCGTAAATAATAAATCAAAGTTAATGCAGTAACATGCATAATTTTTAAAAAATTTATGTATTCGATATATTATTATTACTTCAATGCGAATTTTTTAATAAAAAGAAAACAAAATCAAAACACTTATTGGAATATTAAAAAAATAGATTTTTCTAGTACTAAATATATTCTTCCATTGTATAATGTAAAACCAAATTGTACATAACATCTTCTACTCGAAATATTGCAATCGGTGGACTTACCATTTTCTCCATCAGTCAGTGCACCAGTATCTTCTTCACTCCTTTTAATTTTGTCAACTGTAACAATAAAATATTCCATATTATAAAAATGAATGGTCAAAAATACACACAAAATATTAACATATATATACATATTAGAGACAATAAGGTAAAATTTAAAAACTGCACAGTATAATACAATAATTAAATCTCTTACTATGAAGCATATGATTTTGAGAGTGATGGTGATGATGTGATGATGGAGGTTTCCTTTCGGGCCTGATACGTTCCATCAATTTGCTTATACGATCATTTCCTCTTTCCTTTCGAACCAATGGGCCGGGGCAATTTTCTTCTACTACACGAACACACTGACGATGGACACTCAGAGAACAATCTGTAATAAAAGCAAGGGGTTTTCCTAAATCATATTTTTCGGTACTGTATTTAGGGTTATGCATGATGAAATTTTAATTAAATCTTTTTATTAATTAAAAACTTATTAATAACGTGACATACCACTACATAAATATCCTTGAGGTCCAATTCCGCCAATGATAAGTTGACAATGATTACAATAAGTAATAGTAAAGTACTGATGAGCTACAAAATGATGACCCCTGATTGTCATTTTTCTTGTCTTTCCCGTAAGCAAACGCGCTTTAAGATTTGACTTATCTTTTGCGACAAAAGTAGGTACTCGGTCAAGTGATACTGGTCGGACTTGGAAAATTTTTGTTAATATCGTTGCCAAACCAGCTGCTGTTGTAAATTGTCGCAAATCTACCTGTTCTTTTTCTATATCTTCTCTGAAACATTACATGAATAATAATATAATATTAAATATCGTTAAAAGTTTAAAATTCATATTGTATACATTTTTTTGATTAATGGACTTACAAATAAGGCTCCATCTTAGGTAAGAGGTATGTTTCTATGATTTTTGTTTCTCGCGCCTTGTCAGATGCACTTTCATCCAATTGAGCGTCGCTTGGACCGAATAACGTACCTAATCCAGCAGTTCTCTTTTGTTGAAAGTCTGCAAGTTGCTCGTTCAGTTCTTCCTTTGCTCGTGTACGAGCTTTCCAGAAAATCTAACAGAGAAGCAATATTTCATATAATCATACCAAACACACAATTAGCGTATAATGAAATACATACTTTTCGTAGAATCTCTTCTTTGTCAGATTCTTTCAAAAGAACATCGTCTATTTCATGTGCTACGTTTTCGTCTACATTATGCAGACGAAGAGGCTGCATAAAACAATTTCCAATTAAATACATTGTTTACACATACGTATGTCAAAAAAGATATACTTTTTTAAATTACTTACTGCACCAGGTACTAAAAAACTAGAATGAATTTCATATGCCCACTTTCTCATCTCTTTTGCATTGCCTTCTTTGTACAGATCCGTTACTAAATAGAACAACTAAAATGATATGAATAATTATAGAAAAATTTAAATAACGATAATATATATCTCAAAAAATTACTATAATGTATCATACAATACGTACCAGACTGGAGGGATCACTGTTTGATAAAACGTAATTAATAAATACAGCAAGATGTGCATGATGTCCCCATAATCGAGACAAAGATTTAAATGGGCCGTGATCTTCTAACTGCCCCTACAATAACAATTCATTAGACTTAGATATCAACATGAATTGTTTCATTAAGAAGGAAAATCAAATTTATAAAACTCACAACTTCTTGATCACTCATATCATCATCTTCCATTGACATGATTGGCTGCTGTAATGTTAGCAATCCAGGAATGCTTTCATTTAATATCATCTGCAAGAAAAAAATATATAAATAACTATGATGATAGTCTATTTAAAAAATTTACGTTTTGGAAAAGACTTACATCATTTATAGTAGAGCTAGAGGTATCATTTCCTGGACTAGCAACTGGATATGGTGGAGGTGGAGTTCCTGGAGGGGTGATATGAGTTAATTCATCTATATCAATGTCGCTATGCCTAACATGCCTTGGAGGAGAAAGATCATTCATTGATTCTGATGCTATTAAACGTCTACTAGCATCTGATGGAGAAATAGTTGTTGTTCCTAGTTGTTCTGGACTGGATTTTGTTCGTTGATGCTTATTGAGTGAATTTGAGGAACCCAAATTTGCACCCTGTGAAAGCTATAAAGAAATTAAATACTTATTTAATAAACAATAAATAATAACTGAAGAATTGTTAACAATAGTTTATTAAATAGAAAGACAAAGTAAAATATTGTGCAATTCATTATGCAAGAGTATAATAAGATATATTTATGCATGTCATCACTAAATTTTACACATATAATATAAGAACTGTTAAACATTGCAATTACAATAATTAAAATGAAACAAATGTTTATCAAACAGGTGTTCAGAAGTACATACTGAATGACCATAAATTTTTATTAAATCACAGGAACCATACTTCAGTGCACATCACAACCATACTTAAAATACACGACTTAATAAAATGTATTATTCAAGCATCAACACTTCAGTAAACAAGCACTGCTTCTGCAATATATAACGTTTGACATGAGTTTTTGGTATAGCTGCACATAAAATAAGGGCACTTGTCAAAGAAGCATAACAAAGTATTAATGTAACATAGGTATTTATTGTTTATGATGATTATTGATGAAATATATGAAATGAAATAAATATAAAGATAAAATTGATAAAATATCTTTAAAAATATAAAAATTATGAAACTGTTCAATGAATACATATGAGTTAATTGTAAAAGTATACACATTATCATGTGATACTTTCCTTTTACCATGCATTTATATAAATTACTTATTTAATGACTTAGCGATTAGACTACTTACAGAGTTAGGTATGCCATGACTGGTGGTTGAGGGCGTTAAATGAGTCAACAGATGACGCTCCAGCTCCAACTGGGCTACGTTGTGCGTATTTGTAGTAGGCGGAGGTCTGGGAGGCAATGGTGGTGGAGACAGGCTTTGCATGGACAAGGATTTACGAGATGGTAGAGGCGGTGGTACATCACCACTACTCAAGGGTGAATAATAACCCGGGGAACACGAGGTGTTTGTTACCAACGAGCAAAGCTGTAAGACACAACAAAAGCTGGTTAGATAAAGTTAGCGAAAGCTTAAATACATCCCTATATGACTGAATTTGAAAAGTTCAATTATGATGCAAGCACACATTGTATAACAATTGTACTTGTACAGTTCAAAAAGGTACATGTACAGAAGCAGAATGTGGGTTTTGTCATTTCTCATTGTTTACCATTGTGTTCTATAAGCTATTAATATACACATCAAAAGTTATCAAACTACTATATAATCAACAATAAAACTTATATTCATACTTTGATCATTATGCTTTCTATTTATAGAAATAAACGTCTTAATAATATCATGCCGAGCAACTATTTGGTACACTGAACAGCATTAACTGGAACTGTCAAACACTGAGATAAAAGCAAGGCACAAGTAAATATGTAGGGATAGAAGAAATGTTAATGAATATAAGCGTTAAAACAAACTCACGTATATACGAAGAAGATTATGAATCATAACATAATATTTGTGATATAATATATATGAACTAGTTTACTGGTACAAAATTGATGCAGGACATTAGTGCAATAAATAGAAATTTTCAAAACAATTTGAGCATCTCGCTAAAGCACGCCACGAAGACAAAAATTCAGACCTGTTCATTGGTAGTAATTGCAGCTAGCTGTTCGTGCAGGGTGCGCACTCTCCTTTCTGCGCCCGCCAATTCTGCTTGTAGTGCTACAACGTTAACATTACCACTACCAGTACTGGCTTTAGCAAGTTCGCTACGAAGCTTATCAACGTAACTTTGTTCCTTCTCCAACATAAGCTGGAATGTATGAACGCGCTGAGTTTCCAGTTGTCGCTTTTTCTCGTGCTAAAACACATTAAAAGATATACGAAATTAATTTAAAACTGTAATACTTTAGACTTTTGAACATTATATTTGTCAGAAAGTTCTAAAGACCAGTATTTAGCAATTCTCACACAATATTTACTTTCATACCTATTCTTATATACATCATTAATAACACTACATAATAATCAATAAAACTAATATAAAAAGATAAAACAATTGATTTACCATGTTTGCAAGAAATTTTACTAACACATTTTTTTCAAGAGTTACTTGGAAAAAAAAATGAAGCAGCATTGAAATATTACTTTATTCGCAAAGTCAAAAATATGCATATATAACTATATCACAATGTTAACATGATCTGAATTACTAATTTAATCATACATAATAATTACTTACAATTAAATAATCAAATACACTTTCAATAATCGTTGCAAAGGAAAAAGAAAAAGCAAGAACTACAAAACTAAAATAAGAATATCAGGAAAACTTAAAAAAAAGTAAATATCATATATTGCTATAGCCAAAAAACAAACTCATTCATATTTCACATCATGAGATGTAAACGTACACTTTGATTACATAAAAAGATAGCAATATATTCTACTTAATAAAACAAATAATATCTTATCTTCCTCTTCTTTCTTTCACAAAACATTTTGGCTTACATCAACAGGTTGAGGCCCCGTGATACGTGCATTACACGGTGCGCCGGCTGCTGGAGCAGTCGACGCCCTGTGCAGAGAGGTTGCCGGCTGTGAGGGTGATACCATGGTAGTACCGGCTGATAGACTGACTGGTCGCTGATACTGCCCACCCGCCAGACCAACCTGTAGCCCCGTGGACGTCGTCGCCGCGCTGCTCGTCGCAACTGGCTTCTTCTGCACAGTCAGTGCCACATGCGTCGAAGCTGCAACAAGAGTTCAAGGACGATGATTAGTCACCTTTCGCATACCTTCACCGGTCCTTCCCCCGCGTTTGACCCTCCACCTCTTTCTTTTGAGAACTGCTCCAACGGTCACCACTTGTATTTTCTTTTAAAACGATTCAGACTTCTCTCTTCTCAGTTTCTACGCGCTCCTATGCGTAATCTACGTGTATACAACACCAAGTATCTCAAATTCTCTCACGAAATTTTCTTAGTTCAAATTTACATAATTTGCTAATTATTATACATCGTTTCTTTTTTTTTTTAATTTTAACACATTTTTACGTGCATGCGAATTGTGTTTGTTCAATGTATTTTTGTTTCGTTGAACGTTCGATAAACGATCATGTGATCCGGAAAGTCCGAGTTTCGTATAAGTTGTTCGGTCAACAAAACGTTCATTAAGAAATTGCAAAGTGATAAGGCACATATGCAGTACCGTATCGCTGATAACTCCAGCTATGCCCGTGTGTTTATATGAGAATGTAAAGCATTAAAATTGTTGAAATTTATCGATGACGAATTCTTTGTGAATCTTAAAATACGGTTCTAAACATAACGCGTAAAACTTCGAATACCTGATCATACAAAAAAAAAAGAGAATTGTGAAATGCATTCGGCGTTATGTCATAACCAGAAGTGCTTTAAAAAAAAACAAACAGAAAAATATTTACATGCAATTAGTTAGGAACTACTAAATCCAAGTTTCTCTTATATCGTTAATGACTCATTCATACGTTCAGATAAAACATATGACGTCATTCCTTTTTTCCAATTCTAGAAATACGTAGTCAAGCTGAAAAGTTTGTCGATGAAAATTCGCATGGAAAATCACACGGTACGAAAATTTGCAATTTTTACCATCAGCCGATATTTTCGAAAACACGTATCTCGAAGTTGTTGCCTAAACACAAAATCACTCGGAGAATGCGAGAAATTTCAAGAATGTTTGCATTTTTAAGGAGCGTTGGGTAAAACAACGTTGACGTTACTCAAGAAAATTTCGTATACTCGAACGGCACACAGTTTACAAAATGAACAAAATATTTGTCACAACGAAGAAAGCAAAATTTCAACGAACAACAATCCCATATACATCGTAATGGTTAAATTACATAATTGCGAGCATCGTAAACGTTCTAGAAACAGCTGAAAATACCGGAGTACGGTTTCGCACGAGCTTTCTTCCAAGCTTGCCTCAGGTCGTACGTGGATCGCGTCTTCATATAGACACAGGTCGAGATGAACGCGTCTCGAAACAATTAATCGATTATCTCGAATAAATTTCGTCCTGGTGGTATCGAGCTTTTTTTTTCAAATTTCACGACAACACCACGTGCATTTAGAGCCGTGTCGTCTGCGAAACTGCGTAAAACGATCGGCGACCGAGGCGATCCGGGGAGTAATAAGACATTCGTACTGAGAAACTTGGCCCCAGGTGTGTGTATTAATATGAATGACGAGATTCTTATGTTTACACGCGCGTACGACTAATCTTCGATATATGACCAGGCCTCGTCATTTGACTATACGCTGCACAACACCTTGGCAAACCCATTCTAATATTATCATTCGCTTTTCAAACGTGAACA